CCGGAAAATCATACTGGAAATAAGTCCTTTTAGTTGACAGTAAAAAAAACTTACACAATGACAATGAACATCTATTTTTAAATTCTCTATTTAACTGTAGAGAAACAATACTGAATTCAAGAGAAACCAAATTGGCAAAATAAACCGTTGATGAGTGGGGTTTGAGGGAAATCTCATCAATATTTGCTGTTAAGACAAGAGCATCCAATTGGAACATAAGAGTGAGGAAAATATCGTTTCCTGATAAGTACCTCATAAGGCTAAGATTCCTAATGAACTTCTATAAAACCAAAATGGAGATACAAAAGGGAGTTTGGAGAAAAAAAATATGATTAAACTAAAAAGGACCTCATCGTGGTAAACGTTTCCTCACTGTCTTATACAACCATAATTTACTTTGGCAGCAATACTAGTAGCACTGAAGATGAACATTTTGATGAAGATCAGAAGCACATGGATAATTTAATCAAATTATATACAACTTCAGTACACAAGTTGCGGTTCAAACTCTGCCAAATCTACAGACCCTGATTCAATTGGTGGCATTAAATATGCAGCCAAGATTTCAGACACCAAGCCAGCAACCAGTGGAATCCTCTTCAAGTTCTTCACCAACGGTATGTCATCACTCTCACCAATAGCAAGAATCTTCTCGTTTAGCTCCACCATCCTGTCCAACTTCCTCTTGAATTCTGGGTTTTCAACATCAAGAACAGCTGGGAAAATCCGAGCTGTTGTGCGGTTTGTCTGCAAAATCATTTCAGAAATGAAGCTTGAGTAACTGCTTGTAATTTATGAGTTCATCATTTGTTCTTTGTTGATGAACTCTTATTAGTAATAGTTTTCTTAATTGTAACTCAAGGCTCCATTATTTTCATCTTATCATACCATGTTACTAAATTCATATTGGGACTGAATAGAAACAAATTGTCATTGTAACAAAGAGTAATGGAAGTTAAAACAAGAACAATAGTGATCTCAACAAGTATGCACACAGAAGCTAACCTCAATGATGACATGCATGTCAAACTCTTTTGTGTTAAGTCCAATGCCTTCATAGAAAGCCGTACGTTGGCAATCATTAAGATACATAGTGACATAAACCTGCAAGATAAAATTGAGATTTAAGTTTTAAGCACAGTTAAGAAGGTAAATGGTCTCAATCTTATGAAAAAAAGACATTCAAATGTGATAACAAGTTTCGCTGAGACATGCATTATATATCATTTAAGGTTTGTAGGATTCTGTATACTAACTTTTCACTTGTAATCTCTATTACATTCTTATGCTAGCAGCATTTGGCACTACATGTTATTGAGTTCATCATAAGAATCTTAAAAGAAGCCATAAGCAAAGGAGAAAAAATACCGAGAGACAGAAGAAGCGAGCCCACAACTTTGCCTTCCAGTCGTTTAGAAATTGTGGCTGTGCCTTCATAAGAGCGGAGAAGAAATCTCCATGTCTGTTCTCATCCTGGCACCAGTTCTCAAAGTACTTGAAAATGGGATAACATTGATACTCGGGGTTGGCCTTGAGATGTCTGTATATGGTTATGTATCTCCAGTACCCAATTTTCTCTGACAAGTATGTAGCATAGAAGATAAATTTGGGTTTGAAAAATGTGTATTTTCTAGCTTTGGTCAAGAAACCCAAGTCCAGAGCCAAATTGAAATCAGATAAACCCTTGTTCAAAAACCTGCCCACAATCAAAATGAGGTCATGCACAATTACAAACAAGATATCAAATAGAAAATGAAAGGATAGTTAAGAGATGAAGGCCAAAGGTGTGGCCGTACCCAGCATGCCTGGCTTCATCCCTGGACATCAGAGAGAAAATCTCAGCCACCACAGGGTTGGTTTTCTGTAAAATAATAAATCAGTCCAAGAACGAGACACAAAAAAATTGCATAAAGCACAACATTGTACGAGATAGTTCACTGTAAAGACATGGACTGTAGCAGAACTACATTAACAGACCAACATCAGAACAACATAATCCTAGTACTTAGAACTGCAACAGCTATGGAAAAGAACAAAATTTGCCTCAATGACTATCTATATTTTTCAATGTCACCCAAAAACAATCTTACTAATGCATTGACAAGATAAAGTGGTAGAATTTATCATACTACAAACAGTAATATTAGTTGAAGGTTAGATTTTTTCTCTCTCTCTGACGGTGTCTTTAATTATACTGTAGTTTAATTTTTCCTTTGAAAGTCGAATGATACCTTGAGCCTCCTTCCAAGCTCTTTGTAGAGAAGGAAGCCAGAGAATTCAGCAGTGCAGGACCTCTCAAGGAACTCCACGAAGATCTGTCTGAGGGAGCCTTCAAGTTTATCAGCCGCTTCCTTGAACTCCTTGTTCCTGACGAAGTGGGTCTGGTTGTAGTCAGTCTTGAACTCCTGAAGCAAGGCCACAAACTCCTCCTGGTTGAGGTTCTTGTTGATCTCAGTGTTGAAAAGGGTCTCCATCTCATCGAAGTCGGTGGTGTAGAACCTTGGGGTCAGAAGGCTCTCCTTGATGCCCTTCTTGCTTGTCTTTGCGGAGGTGGATGGTGGTGGGGTGGCAGTGGCAGACATTCTTATGGTGCTGAATTTGGAGTATGAACCCATTCTGGGGCTGCCAAATTTGGGACTCACATTGGAAATTGGTTTCACAAGAGCCATCTCTGCAGCCATGTTTGGTTTGTTGAGGATGCTACAAAGGTTTGTGTTTGAGGTTGAGGACCAAGGAATGGCAAGCATCAAGGACAAGAACTGAGGAAGTTATAACTTGGATTGGGTGTGATAGAATCTCATCCAATGAAATCTTTGAAAGTTAATTGAAACTTGACACGTGGCAGGTGGTGTAAGCTTCTTCTTGCTTTATGATTGGTTGTGATGATTACATGTAGATCACAGCCTGTGGCTTTCTGGATACTTGTTTGTCTTGTTCAGATTATTTTAAATAAGTGAAAAAAAGAGTTATATTTACACATCAATTTTACACAGACAAGTACACAGAAAAAAAAAAGGAGAGTATTTGTAACATAAAAACAGAAAAAAACAGTGCTCTCTGAAAAGTGCTACGTGAATAATTTAATTCTTTATAAAATAAATGCTTTAGATTATGCTTGTTGATTTTTTATTTTAATTTTTGTTCAAGAAATTGTGCTACGTTGCAATAAAAATGTCTTGCAACAAGGATATTGCATCTGATTAACCTTTAACACTCAGATTTTTTATTCTATGGACGCAAAAGCAGAACCAATAGCAGTCATTGAGGGACAGAGCCTACAAACATGAATAAAGACCACACAAAACCCGGCCAATGGAACAAAAATACAAATGTAAAACAAAAGCTCGGCCACAGAAATTCCTTTTTTTTTTTTTGTATTTTCATTTTATTTAACATTAAAAATTGAAAGAAACTCTTGAATATCCTTTTGGGTAAAAATAATATATACAACTTTGGGATAATATTACAGATTTTTAGATATGATAGTCTTTTTTTTTAATTGTCAGGGCCACATTTTAAAATAAAATATGTTTGAGAAAGCAAAGAGTAACCACACCAATATATGTTTCCTCATGTTATACTTCCATTCAAAATTTTACACAAACATTCCCTTTATTTTAAGCACGTTGTATTTTAAGTACATAATAATAGAGAATATGGTAATGGGGTAAACATTATAAAATGTAGATATAGTTTTAGAAAATCTAGAAAAAGAAAATACTCTGAGCAAAATAGCAGTGCACACTTTTACTTACTTCTAACTCTCCATCTTCTATATAGGAGGGGTAACTACTCTAACATTAGCTAAAATTTATAAAAAATCATAAATTAATTTATTAAATAAGTGATATTCCTAAAAAGCTTGTGTTGTGACTTTCAATAAATTTTAGTAAATAATAAAAGTATTCAAGAGTTTGATAATACACTTTATAAAAAAATAAGTTGACTAAGCCAAAAATAAGTATTTTGTGGTAATAAAATTCAATGTGAGCTGAGTTGAGTGAAACTGAAGTGTCTTTTCCCTTTTCTGATCCTAGATTTAATTTTAATTAAGTTGGAGGTTCCCTCAAAAAAAGTTTTTGGATGACATATTTTAAGTTTGTTAATTCAATGCATTGAAACCTATCTAGCGATGACCTAAGGAGAGAAAAACATAATTGTTACAAAATGAAATTAGTGCACTACTTACAGAAAATCTAAATTTCTAGAGTAAATAAAAAATGATCCGATGTAGAGATCTTGACAGAGGATTGAGTGGAAGAGATAGGCACACCAGGAGCACCTATCATAAACTTAGCCAGACAATCTTTCTGCATTATTTTGAATGCAAGTGGCATTTACAGCTTACAACAAACACTTGCCACACTTTTATGCTAAAATGAGAGAGAAGTGCAAGCTCAATCTCCCCATTTCCAGCATGAATAGCATCAAAGAACTTGCATGAGTCAGCATATTGAAAATTCTTACAAAACCACAAATTGCTGCAAGTGTGGATGGAAGGAACCAAACCATCCTCAGTGTTTACTTCAAGGCACACAAGCAATCAGAGGACCGGCAGCAAACCTGAAACAAAGGCCAGCAAGGAAGGAAATGTCTTAATAGTGAAACTAAAATCACTTTCTCTTTTTGTACAAAACCACAGTATCCTTCATTAGAGACAATCCTGTTTGAATCAGGTGAGAACATTACAGACAGCATAATCCCCACCCCTTCTCAAAGTATTATTCAGCACAGTTGCATGCTCAGGACTCAAACTTGAAATCATTGGTTAAATTGGAACAACTCCACAGGAATTACTTCATAAGAAATACATTTTAACTGAATTTAAGTATGGTTTTAGGACCACCTTACTTAATCTCATGTCAGAATATACACTTTTGAAAAGGATCAAGCTTAAGGAACATCTCATCCATGAGCATCCCAAAATTTTCCAGAAAAAACAAGGATGAAGAGTGAGAAGACAACCTCTATGCATAAAAACTAAAAGCTGGCATTGTGGCTTAATGTGGGTGATTCCTGCTATTAGTTTCCTTATTTGTGTAGGTTCCATCAGAAGTAGTGTGTCTTTGAGCAGACTCTCTGGCTCTTCCTCCAGCATGGGAGCTTTGCACATACTCTTCCATTTCATCTTCACTTATGCTTTGGAAATTCAAAACCGTTGCGTTGGATGTTCGTGCCGAGCCTTTTGCATCATCCTCGATGCTGTAGAACGGATCGAAAGACCGCTGCCCCTCATCTGCAAACTTTATGTCATCATCAAAATTATCAAAATCAAAATTTCGCAGAAGTTCAGGAATAGGTAAACGACCATCTTCTGCACGCATAGATCCCATTTCAAGGTCAATTTTCTCCTTTGGGGTCAAAATTCCATCCGCATTGTTTGGAGTCAGCGATCCCACCATCATGTGTTCATCCTCCACAACAAATCCTCGGAAGTTATTCTTCGAACGAGGAATGCTGGAACAAAGTGTTTCATTGATATTTCTGCATGATCCCCTATTGAATGGGTTGCCTTTTTTGTCATACTGATATCGGAAGTTCTCATAAGTTGTCTGCAAGACAACAAAATCAACAAATTATATGTAAAGGTTATGGATAACGATTGAAAATGAGAAAAGAAAGTTTAACACACAAGACAAAAATCATTGATTATCAGAAGTTAAAAAGGAATCAAATCTACTTCTATTAGAAAGAGAGATCAAACTATTTATAGTGTTTGATCAACAAGCAATTCACCAACTGTACAACAGCTACCCACTAAAACAATAGTTAAAACCAGAAGCAGAAAGCAAAAAGCTTTATCCTTTATCCTTTACAATCTTCAACCAATAAACAACAATCTAAATCTAAGCAAACAATGGATCAAAATATTGGCCATATGGACAAGTCCCTGAAGAACGTTGCAGACAAGTTTCCCAGTAAGCTTCTTATTAAACTCAACTCGAGTCAGCAGAGTCACTTCCAAATAGAAAGAAAAAGAAGCTATCTTGAACATTAAAATATAAGTAAATTATTTGAGTACCCTGAAAATCAATGTACATTTACTGAAAGAAAACGAAGTTATATTAATGGCCAAACTCAACACGATGAAAGCGTTAAACCTGAGCAGAACCTCAAGCCTGAATGAACATGACATTAGAAAAAATAGTATGAGATTGGAGACCGAAATTTTTTTACCTACCTTCTCTGCAACAGAGAAAACAAAAGTAAGTTCATCAAGTTGCCAGGAAAGGACGTCTTGAATGGCTACACAATCTGTTATTTAATTTGATTTAAGCCAATCTTACTTGTGCAAACTATTACTATGATTTATTAAGCTACCGAAGATGTCAACTAAATATCCCAATATCATCAATGATACTTCATCATCCATAGCTAGCACAACGTCCAAAAAATTATTGTTTCTATGAATAACGGAAAAATAAAGTCAAACTTTATAAATATATAGCAGCTTTTTAGCTAAGTACATATTTCAAATTCAGCTACAATACCTAGTGTTCTGTTATTGTCTCACCTTTTCTCCATTTGCCATCCTCTTAGAAAATGAAAGCATAAAACTTTGATCATTTCAGTCATT